TTTTTTTTATTAATAAGACCATTTAGCAATTCATCTACAATGTTAGAAGCTGAGAAGACCAGGGTTGGGAATATGATTTGGGGGACAACTCTAAACAGCTGGTGCTGATACTGCCAATGATCGGAAGATAGATTTATATACCTGAACCTCAGACTGTGAGAGAAGTCTCCCACATGGTGTGCTGACCTCTTGGGGTGTGTGTAGGGGGAGCTGCAATGCTTTGAGGGGAAAGTATTTGAAAACCAAAAAGATGAAATCCTGTATAAATAGAAAAAGGGTGTGCTGTTGGTGTGGAAATATTGCTAAGGTAACAATGAGAGAAAGAAAACGAAAACCATAAATAGAGAAAAAGCAAAAGGAATCCATTCTTTCTTTCTGTTCTTGTCGTCTAGACTCTTGCTAGTGCCTCCTTTAGGCCAAGACCAACATGAAGTCAACGAGCAAAACAAGACTTCTGTTTACAGACTCCCAGCCCCAGCATCTCCAAAGCTGAATCTCACTGCATGGATATGATTCTGTAAGCAATTGCTTAATAACTAACACGGTCAAAGAAACTCAGCAAATGCTCACTAAACTATTTCCCTATGTCACACACTTCAGAAAATTTTTAGACATAGTTATCGCTAGCATCTCTAACAGATTGATTCCACCAGCACTCCACTTGATTGTATTTTTTTCAGATATAATGGAATAATTCAACATAATGAATTTGGAACTATGGTATGAAATATAATAACATCACTGAATTTTTCCATGAAGAGTTCTTTTCTACCCCAATTGTTCTTCAACATTAAGTCCATTGGATACTCCATTGTTTTTCATTGCTAAACGTATCAACAGTCGATGGAACCAGTCACTAAATATCTACAGAGTTATTTACAGTCACTATAGTCTCAGATTCTGGAGCGATTCACAGTCATTGAGCATGAATCATACATAAACTTTCCATGTCCCTGAACATGTAAAGCTCTGTATATGACTGTACGGTCAAGCATCTGCTTTATCCTTTCAAGATGGCTTTAATCTGCCAGCAAATATGCATATCAAGCAGACAATCTTACAACTCTAGATAAAGTAATACTATAATTCTGTAATTTCTGCCTATATTTCCACCTTAGGCTCTGTAAAACTTTGTTCTCTTTCTTAAGTATAATTAAACTACATCTCAGTCATCTGGTAACCATTTTAATGAAAAGGTAAGATTCTATCTAATTTTTATGAACTTAAACTACAGCAAGAATTGCTGCTTTACAGTTTTCGAGGGCCCAAAAGGCTGGGATTCAGCTCAGGCTTTCCTCTAGGTTGTAGACAATTGTGTTCCTGGTGTTCACATATGATAGAGAACAAATTTGCTCTTTGAAGGAATGAATTTTACTCATGAGGGTTTTACTCTCATGTCTTAATTACTTTGGGAGGGACTATATTTTTACAAGAACTTTTGGAAAACAAGAATATCAAGAGGTAATAGAACCAAATAACATTCTTGTTGATGTTTTAAAAGTTCAATAATTAGACATACCACTTCTGAGTAAACCAATGAAAGGTTCTTTGAGAAATTGTTTATATATACTGCTAAAAATCTACAGATCATATATCTGTTATATACATCGCCACAATGTCATACAAATCCAAAGAACATCCCAAATATTTGAAATTGATGTATTTCAGGATTCAGAAGCTTGTTGGCTTTAGAAAGGCAATATGAATGTAATGTCGAGATACATAAGATTGAAAGATCGTAGTCTTATATCCACACACTAAATCAGAATTCAGTAACATATGCTGTAGGATGAACTACAAGGACATTTTTTAATATTTACAACATGTAAATCTGTAGAATTAAGAACAAAGAATTATAGGCTTCTATAGTATTGACATTGTCATAAATAAAATAATTGCATGTCTAAAATAAATCAGTAATTCCAATTATCTAACCTCTAATTATGACATCAAAGAAAGCCTTATAAATGTGATGTTTAAGTAGAAAATACTTAAATATGTTTGTGTATGAAAGGAGAGAAATTAGTTGAAAATTAAAGGCACAAATACTAACAGATGCACTAAGAGCTGGGAAATCCAAAGAGAAGGTTTATTCACTACCTCCTCCTTTACCCAGTATTTGCTAAGAACATTATTGATGCTATAGCTATGTCAGGCTTGAAAATGCAAATATGGACATATGAGACCCAATCTCTGCCATCTTCAAGCCTTTAATATAGCCAATGAAATTCAATAAGCTAAAAAAAGAAAAATAGTTGTAGAGTAGAAATCCTTAGAAGTACAGTGGAAGGGAAAGGAGGTTATAATTGCTTCTTTTGAGAGAGGGGGGAATCCAAATAACTTCTTAAGATTATTTATGGAAACTATTTTTTATCCTATAGTTTGGGGGAAGGAAGAGAGAGAAGAGAACTTCACAGAGGAATGCTGTTATCAGAAATGATATCAATGACATGGAAGAGATGATTTTAACTTAATATCTATGCAAACATAAACCACTATGTGCTTCTTCTATGCCATACCATATTACAGTAACCACAGGGTGGCTATCATTTTACTTAAATAAAATGTTTATTCCACTGAAAATTATTTTTCTCTCAGAATTACATATAATAACAAACATTGCACAGTATCAGATAAATCATTTTTATTTTGTCTTTTTTTTCCCTCTGAGCTGAGGACTGAACCCAGGGCCTTGCACTTGCTAGGCAAGGGCTCTACCACTGAGGTAAATCTCCAACCCCAAATAATTTTTATTAAAATTATATTTTTAAACCATCTAAAGAGTTCTACTCTAGGATCACTTTTAGGATTCTGAGTCACTCAGGGAATTCCTACAAACTCAAACTTTTCCAAAGAATTCCTTTAGATTTTTGGTGTTTGAAACCTGGGACTTATGCAGGGACGCTTGGCTCAATCTGGGAGGAGGGGACTGGACCTGCCTGGACTGAGTCTATCAGGTCAATCTCATTCCTTATGGGAGGCCTTGCTCTGGAGGAGGTGGGAATGGGGGGTGGGCTGGGGTTAAGGGGAGCGGGGCAGGAAGGGGGAGAACAAGGGAATCTGTGGCTGTTATGTAGAACTGAATAGTATTGTAAAATAAAATAAAATAATAATAAAAAATAGATTTTTGTTGTGGTCACTTCCAAAGGCAAGTGGCTGTTTTCCTGTCTTCTCTGGTGCAATACTTGATATAGTGGGGTATACCAAGCACAATAACTAGGCAAGATTCAAGTATCTCTGTTATGTTTTAATGCTTTGGGGAATCAGGATCAAGATATACTTGATTTGAAAAATGAAGCAAAACAAAAATAAAACCCTGCTTGGTTTATTTACCCAGGAATCTCTTGAAGACAGTACTTTATTTAGCAAGTGTCTTGCTCAAAATTCCCATCTCAAAGCTTTCTTCTGTGGAATTCAATCCAAGAATACAGATTAAATATGACATGTTTAATAAATATTCAAGGGTGATACCTCCAGCAGTACTTTTATATTCAGTATTATTTTAATTATCTTGGACTTTTTTGGTTTTTCCAAATGATGTTGAGAATTGTCCTTTCAAGTCTGTAAAGAATTGTGTTGGAATTTTGATGAGGATTGTGCTGAATCTGTAGATTGCTTTGGTAGGATGGTCATTTTTACTATGTTAATACTACCAATCTATGAGCATGGGAGATCTTTCCATCTTCTGATATCTTCTCCAATTTCTTTCTTCAAAGACTTGAAGTTTTTTTGTCATAGGAATCTTTCACTTGTTTGGTTAGATAGCCCAAGATACTTTATATTATTTTAGGCTATTGGGAAGGGTATTGTTTCCCTAATTTCTTATTCAGCTTGTTTGTCATTTGTATAGAGGAGGGCTACTGATCTTTTTTAGTTAATATTGAAGTAGTCCCTCACTTTGCTGAAGATGTTAATCAGATGTAGGAGTTCTTTAGTAGGATTTTTAGGGTCAGTTATGTATCTATCATCTGCAAATAACAATATTTTGACTTTTTTCTTTCCAATTTGTATCCCCTTGTTCTCCTTCAGTTTTCTGATTGCTCTACCTAAAAGTTCAAGCACTATGTTGAAGAGAAATGGAGAGAGTGGAAAGCCTCTCTTTGTTTCTGATTTTAGTGGAAATGCTTTGAGTTTTTCTCCATTTAATTTGGTGTTGACTATAGGTTTTCTATAAATAGCCTTTTTATGTTTAGGTGTATCCCTAATCTCTCCAAGACTTTTATCATGAAGGTGTGTTGGATTATGTCAAAGGCTTTTTTGGCATCTAGTGAGATGATCATGTGGTGTTTTCTTTCACTTTGTTTATATGGTGAATTATATTTTTCAATTTAAGTATATTGAACCATTCCTGCATTTCTGGAATGAAGCCCACTTCATCATGGTGGATGATCTTTTTGATATATTCTTGGATTCTGTTTGCAAGTATTTTGTTGAGAATTTTTGCATCTATGGCCATAAAGGAAATTGGTATGTAATTTCCTTTCTTTGTTGGGTCTTTATGTGGTTTGGGTATATGCTTAACTGTACCCTCATGAAATGAGTTTGGCAGTGTTCCTTCTCTTTCTGTATTTTGGAACCATTTGAGGAGTACTGGCATTAACACTGTTTTGAAAGTCTGGCAGAATTAAGCATTAAACCATCCGGTCTTAGATTTTTTGTTTTTTGGTTGTTGTTTTTTTTTTTTTTTTTTTTTTTGGTTGGGAGACATTTAATGGCTGTTTTATTTCACTAGGGGTTATAGGTCTGTTTAAACTGTTAATCTGACCTTGATTTATCTTTAGTAAGTGGCATCTATCCAGAAAAAGTATCCATTTCTTTTAGATTTTCCAATGTGGTAGAGTACAAAGTATGCCCTTATGATCATCTGGATTTCCTGTGTGTCTGTTGTTATGTCCCCCTTTTTGTTTCTGATTTTAGTCAGTTTAGATAAGGAATTGTCTAGCTTGTTATTTTCTCAAAAAACCAACTCTTAGTTTCACTGATTCTCTCTATTGTTCTCTTTGTCTCTAATTTATTGGTTTCAGTCTTCAATTTCATAATTACTTGCCATCCATTTCTCCTGGGAATGCTTATTTCCTCATGCTCTAGAGCCTTCAGGTGTGCTGTCAGCTGCTATTCTGAGATCTCTCCATTTTTTTTATGTAGGCACATAGTGCTATGGACTTTCCTCTTAGCACCATGTTCACTGTATCTCAAAAGTTGAGGTATGTTGTGTATTCATTAACATTCAGTATAGAGTTGTTCGGTTTCCATGAGTTGCTAAGCTTTCTGTTGCCTTTGCTGTTGTTGATTCCCAGCTTTAATCGGTTAGCTCCAGCTTTTCTCTGTTTAGTTTTTTCCTAGAGGACCTGTCCATTGGTGATAGTGGAGTATGGAAGTCTCCAACTATCAGTCGTGAAGGTCACCATAAGAGGTAATCTGAAGAAGTGTTTCTTTTATAAATATGGTGCCCTTGTATTTGGAGCACAGATGTTAAGAACTGAAATGTCATCTTGGTGGATCTTTCCTTTGATGGATATGTAGTGTCCTTCTTCATTTCTTTTGATTAATTTTTGTTTGAAGTTTATTTTGTTAAACATTAAAATGGCTGTACCAGCTTGTTTCTTAGGTCCATTTGCTTGAAATATCTTTTTACACTTTACCCTGAAGTAATGTCTATCCTCTGTGTTGATATGTGTTTCTTGTGTCTATTTTGTTAATCTATGTCTTTTTACTGACGAATTGAGGCCATTGATATTGAGAGATATCAATGAAAAAGGATTGTTAATTCCTGTTATTTTGCTATTTTTGTAGCTATTGCTGTTGGTGGTGGTGGTGGTGGTGTGTGTGTGTGTGTGTGTGTGTGTGTGTATGTGTGTGTGCACGCGCGCATGCGTGCACATATGCACATGCACGAGTTTACTTCCTTTCTTTTGGTTTTGCTGATGTGAGATTATTTCCTTTGCTTTCATGTATGTGGTTAACCTCCTTGGTTTGTATTTTTTCTTCTAGCACCTTCTATAAGGCTGGATTTGTGATAGATAGTGTTTAAATATGACTTTATTGGATTTTTTGTTGTTGCTGTTGGGTATATATAGTAGTCTAGGTCACATCTGTGGTCTCTAGGAGTGTGCAACAGATCTGTCCAGGCCTTTCTGGATTTTAGAGTCTCCATTGAGAAGTCACATATAATTCTAATAGGTCTGCCTTTATATGTTGTTTGGTCTTTTTCCTTTCCAGCTTAGAGTATTCTTTCTTTGTTCTGTATATTTAGTGTTTTGATTATTATGTGGCAAGGGGACTTTATTCTCTGGTCCAAGCTATTTGGTATTCTGTATGCTTCTTGTACCTTTATAGGCATGTCCTTCCTTAGGTTAGGAATTTTTTTCTATAATTTTTTTCTGATTTTCTGGGCCTTTGAGCTGGTATTCTTCTCCCTCCTCTATTCCTATTATCCATAGATTTGGTCTTTTCATAGTATACCAGATTTTCTGGATGTTTGTGTCAGCAAATTTTTTTTCTAGATTTAACATTCCCTTCGACTGATGTATCCATTTCTTCCATAATATCTTCAACACCTGAGATTCCTTCTTCCATCTCTTGTATTTTATTTGTGAATCTTGCCTCTGTAGTACCTGTTTGAATTACTCAATTTTCATTTCCAGAATTCCCTCAGTTTGTGTTTTCTTTATTGCTTTTACTTCCATTTTCAGGTCTTAAAAAGTTTTGTTTTTAGTTGTTGGTTTGTTGGCTTTTTTAATGGGTTTATTCATTTCTTCAATTTTTTATGTTTTCCTGGCTTTCTTTTTTTTTTTTTTGGTTTTTCGAGACAGGGTTTCTCTGTGTAGCTTTGTGCCCTTCCTGGAACTCACTTGGTAGCCCAGGCTGGCCTCGAACTCACAGAGATCCGCCTGGCTCTGCCTCCCGAGTGCTGGGATTAAAGGCGTGCGCCACCACCGCCCGGCTTTTCCTGGCTTTCTTTAAGGGATTTATTATTAATTTCCTCCAACTATTTGTTTGTGTTTTCCTGAATTTGTTTAAGAGGTTTACTCATTTCCTCTTTAAGGGTCTCTATCATCTTCTTATAGTTGGTTTTAAGGTCTTTTTCTTATGCTTCAGCTATGTTGTAATATTCAGGATCTGCTGTGGTAGGATAGCTGGGTTCTAGTGGAGACATATTGCCCTGGCTATTATTGACTGTATTTTTACGCTGTGTCTAGGCAAGTGGGTTTGGGTTGATTATTTGTCTTGGTTGGTTTGCAGTTTTGTTCCTGGGTTTCTGTTTCCTCTCTGGATTTTCATAGAGTGTGTAGGCTGAAGGTTCCCTGTTTTACTTGTCTGCTCGGCTGGTGTGTTCAAAGGGGAATGCTTGATGATGTTCAAGGAGGGTCTTCAGGTAGGTGTGGCCTGTGGTTGAGCAGGGCCTAGCCACTGAAGTTGAGGATGATCGGTAGGATCCACAGGAGACATAGAGAGGCAGAGAAGGCAGCTGGTGTTCTGTTGCTTTCTAGGTGCT